ACCTCCAGAACCAGCAGCTCTAGTACCTCCGGTACCTCAGCTCCAGTACCTCCGGTACCTCCAGTACGAGCACCTCCAGAACCAGCAGGCTCAGCACCCCAAGGCTCCACACCCGCAGGCTCAGCACCCCCAGACGCAGCACCCCTAGCAACACTACTCCCAGCAGCACCAAAGTCTACAGTGACCTCAACAGGCTCAGCCAGGGGGAGTGGGTCTACCTGAGACACACCTGAGCGAGCAAGACCCTGAGGGGGGAGGGGGTCTACTGGAGGGGGACCTTGAGCGAGGAAGAGTGGCGAGGGGGGGAGAGGGGCAGTGCAGTAGGGGAAGAGACGGTAAAAGGGAACCGACTCGTCAAATGTGACGTTCTGAGAGGGGAGGACACGGCTCGAGGTGGGGTGGTAAAACTGCCTACTAGGCGCGTCAGGGGGAAAGCCAAGGAAGACGCAGGGAATAGCACGGGAAGAGAGCTTGTCCGCGGACGTATCGCGAATAAAGGCACAAGAGCCCCAGACCCGGAACACCGACGCATCACCAACCTTCCCCGTCCAACGCAGTGTAGGCGAGGTCTCCGGCAAGGAGACACGGGGCCAGAGGTTGAGCTGATGCGCAGCGTACCGGACCGCAAACGGCCACAGAAAATAGGGAGCAGACGCATGGATCATGGAGGTATGAGCGACCTCCATGACTAAGCCAATGCGGTGCTCAGCAACCCCACTTTGCTGCGGGGAGGCCGGAAGCGTGAACGATTGGAGGATGCCCTCCCCACGAAAAAAAATCCCGCAAGAGGTCTGAGGAGAACTCACCACCTCTGTCAGAGTGTAGACGCAGGACAGGAAGGCTCTCGCGGAACCGCTCGCAGAGCTAGAGATGGACTGTGCGGATCCAAGGGATCAAGACATCAGGGACCTCACCCTTGCTGCGCAAGGGGAAGATCGTGGTGTAACGTGTGTAGTCGTCAACAACCAGCAGAAATTAGCGCTCGCGGCCCTGTCCACTGACGCGGGCGGGGCCCCACACGTCCATGTGGAGATTCTGCAGGGAAGCAGTCGTCGGGGGAAACGAGGAGGAGTGAGGAGCGGCGCCATGCCGCCCCTTGATGCAAGGACGGCAGGGCAGGGCAGGCAAGGGCGGGAGGGGAGGCAGAGACCTGGGAAGACCAGAGACAAGGAGGCGGGAGTGCATGCCACGAAGGCGTGGCGGGGAGGGGTGACCCAGGCGGTAGTGCCACAGGAGAGTCTGGTGCGACCGGAGGCGACACGAGCAGGGGGCTGCTACCGGACCTGACGCGGACACCTGAGCAGACGCTGCTACCTGAGGAGGCTTAGTAGTCAGTGTGTACAGACTCGACCCAGGCCGACGGGTGAACGTGGCCGGGTGACGGCCCGTCCGTGTACACGTGCAGATCGCCACACACTGACCCCCAGGAGTGGTGGTAGTGACCATCGCATCCTGGAGGGCAGCGGTACTCACCAATTTTGTAGAGAACAAGGGGAGGTGAATACCTGAGAGTGAGCCGAACGGAACCGCCGGACACGGGAGAACAGTGGAGGAATGTGCAAGAACAAGGCCCCCTGAGGGGTTAGCCAGTCTGATTGCAAAAGGTGCAGGGAGTGGAGTGAGTGTGGTACTATCGCAAAAGAAACAGCGGGAAGCACCTGAGTCAAGTATGAAGGTGTGCAAGGCCTCAGCAGGCGCAGTACTAGGGAGAGCAGACTTAGTAGCACCTAGAGCAGCAACCTCTAGACCTGGGTCGGGCAGCACACACAGGTAACAGTCACCCTCAGCACTAACAGACAAGGCATACATGGCAGCAAGGATAGCATCATAGTCAAGAGCAAAGATATCAACACCAGACCTAAGCAGCTCTAGCCAGCGAGGGCACTCAGCCTCGTTGCCAAACTCTGCGCGCGAAGCGCCGTCAAGGCGGGAGAAGCAGCGGTGCTGTGTGTGAAACTTACCGCATGTCTGACCAGCTCGATCACCTGTGCGGATGACATACGGGGAGAGAGCACTACCGCCAGACGCCCCACGCTGAGCAAACCACTCACGAAGCTGCTGAGGCGTAGGGGTCTCGCTCCGACGCTAGTGCTGCTGTCTCTGACCACCGCCAGAACCTCCCTTCTGAACAGCTCCACCCCGACCGCCACCATTGCCGTCGCCACCACTCCCACTGCCGCCACCACCGCCACCCCCACTCCCACCGCTGCCACCACCACCGCCACCGAAGCCCCCACTCCCGCCACCACTCCCACCACTGCCACCACCTCCGCCACCTCCACCGCCTCCACCACCTCCACCACCACCACCCGCGCTGCCACAGCCACCACTCTTGCCACCCTTGCCTTTGGTGCTGCAGCGCTTCCCACTAAGAGCAAAAGTAGCCCCGATGTACTCAGTACCAAGGATGTCAACAGCAGCAGCAGAAGAGTAGGAGGGGGCAAGGGGGAGGGGGAACACCCCTCAAAGAAGGGTGTGCAAGGAGTGCCACGAGGAGCACCTACAGCGATTATGCTAGTCTCAGCTGCAAGGAGGTGCTTCTCGAGCAGGTCGACAGTGAGGTCTGTGGGGTCAAGTGCAAGAAAGTGGTCCCTGACTGCGCGAAAAGAGTCAGGGAGGCGGGTGACTATGAAGTAGAGAGTGATGTACATCGGGGGCGGGTTCTTGTCTAGGAACTCGGCTTTGAGGGCAGCGCGGTAGCGAGTGTCGCTAGTGCGAAGGTGGGTGATGAGGTCCTCGACTTTGGCAAAGGCTGACAGCTCGGGAAAAGGGTAGGGTAGTATAAGGCGGTCGAGAGCAGCAGTGGCAGGGGAAGAGTAACGAGCGACTACAGCATCGTACAGGGCTTTAGCAGTCTTGTGCTGGCCAAAGTGAGCGTGTTCGGCTAACGGCAGGTGATTGCGAACAGCTAAGCGAGTAGTAGCGTCACGGGTAAGCCACAGTGAGTGAGTCGCTCTGTCAGCTGTGTCGGGAGGGACGAGAGAGGCTCCAGACGTGTGGTCAAACAACGAAATGCTGTCTCTAGAATCGCTCAATAGGTAAAGCTGTAAGTCATCAAGCTACGTATCGAACTGGATCGGACGGCCCTCAGGATCGAATGTGAGAACGCTGAGAGTAGCCATAGCGGGCAGAGCAGGGCGGCGCGTGACGAGCAAGGCGGCGCGCGTGCACTAGGAAAATGCTCAGGGCAGGGCATGGCAGCGCATGGCCAGCAGGGCGGCGCGCGGCCAGCAGGGCGGCGCACGGCCAGCAGGGCGGCGCGCGGGCAGGGCAGGGCGGCGCGGCGGCCAGCAGGGCGGCGCGCGGGCAGGGCAGGGCAGTGCGCGGCCAGCAGGGCGGCGCGACAGGCAGGGCAGGGCGGCGCGGCAGCCAGCAGGGCTGCGCGCGGCTAGCAGGGCGGCGCGACGGGCTGGGCAGGGCGGCGCGGCAGTTAGCAGGGCGGCGCGCGGCCAGCAGGGCGATGCGACGGGCAGGGCAGGGCAGCGCGGCTGGTGGGGCAGCGCGATGAGCAGGGTAGGGCGCTACTAGCAGGGTAACGCGCTACGGGCAGTGAACTATTTGGTGGGCCCTAAAAAAAAACGGTCTTGGAACAGGACCCACTCTGAAACCATGTCAGAATATTGAACGAGAATGGATGCATTGACAAGAAACTGAGTACAAGTACTAACCCTAATAGGGTTGTACCCCTACCCCACTACAGCCTACACAATATAAACATTATAATAGTTTGACGGACTCCAATGCTGCTCCGCGTCGCCCTCGGTTTTCCGATCGCCAAACCTGCACCCAGCCTCGCATCCTCGAGGTTCCTCCTTGCTAGGCTAGTAGTGACTATATTAACACATGCCTTCATTGTATGATCAGATCATTGAGTCACATCCTAGTTATTCTTTATTCCGCTCAACTCTGTTTTACAACTAATAACATGTACAGTAAAACATCGTTTGCTGCTTTGATTTGGCTGACCTGTCCAGTCACCACTTCTTGAGCCGGATAGGTAGGAGACTGACACGTGCCACTGAAGGTTGCATCTCTCAATTGGATGGAAGGCCAGGCTGAGGCCCAGTGGCACGCTGCCATGTTTCAATCGCACGCAGCGTCAGCATATTTCTGATAAGGAGCCAAGCTATTGGAGTTCAGCCCGTTGTACTTCCTAAATGTTGGGACAGCAATAGTAATATTTGCGAGGGAATTTGTCCCACGTGTCTTAGTCATGAGGAGAAGCCAATAGCTGTATTTTAAGGCTTTGGGGCTGTCGTTGCTGTCGCAAACGTTTGTCTTTATGGTCGAGTTCTCCCGGATTGTTTTGGGTAGACACAAACATGAATCTCAAACCTGGACTTGCCTTGCCGCTAGGAAATGGTGGGAGTTCGACGGGTCAAGATAACGCAACCCCCTCCCAGTATCACACTGCAAGCAGAGCCAATTTCTTCCACTACCCTTTATAACAGAGGAAACTGAATTAACTAGTTCTTATGCCCGACTAAAACCCCTGATTAATTTCGAGAACGCACGCATCTGCTGACGCGGCAGTGCTGCCAGCACACGCGCGGCGAGCAGAGGTCGAATCAGAGCATGCCTCCTGCTTGCGTGGCTCCGATCATCCTCCCAAATCTGCGGCCTCTCCTCCCTCCCGCTTTTCCCATCTTCAGAGTCCTCCCAAGACCACCCCCGCTTTCTGCGCGACGACTAAAGTCGAGGTAAGTTTTCACCAAACACTATTTTCCCATTTTTTCTCCACGCCTTTTCCCAAGACCACATTTTTTCTCAAGCAGAGATCAACGTTTGCATCGCACAGCAAACTTCTCCTCCGACCTCTGCTTTTTTTCTTGATGGCCCTCTCGGCTTCCTCTCTCCGCAGTGCCGCACTCAAGCCCTCCCCAACACTGAGCCCGTCGGCCAACAATCTCTCGTCAGACTTCTCTGGTCGCCGCGTCGTCGCATTCCCGAAAGCGATCGTTTCGCAGAAGTCGCGCGTCGCACGTCGCGGCGTTGTGAGAATGGGGCTGACGGAGAACGGCCCGTCGGTGGCGGTGGTGGGAGTGACGGGCGCGGTGGGCCAGGAGTTTCTTCAGGTGCTCGCGCAGCGCGACTTCCCGTACAGCTCGCTCAAGATGCTCGCCAGCTATCGATCCGCCGGAAAGAAGTTCGACTTCGATGTAAGTCCCGCTTCCAGGTTCGGTGATCTGCTTCGAGGGTCGGGGATCTTCTTAGAGGTTCGGGGAAGGGCCTCGAGAACTTCGCATGCTTGAAAAGGTCAGCCCCTGGATGTCAGTCCTTGGAAGCCAGCTCGTGAAATTCAGCCTGGTGGCTCCTTGGATAGACTCAAGGCTGGTGGTCGCATGCCAGTCGCCACTGGTGGTCGCATGCCCGTCCCCACTGGTGGTCTCAATCCCGTCATTGAGCGATCCACGGCCGCTGGCACCAATGAGGATGCGAACCGATCCCCTCAGATTTGTATCCTGCATTCCCCGTCGCTCGCACTTCCTATCCTCCCGTTCACCTCCACACCTCGTTTGAGAGCCTTAGAGACCGTCTTCCGCCTCCACCCGTGCATCGATCGCAGGGCCGGCTGTACACGGTGGCGGAGCTCACCGATGCGTGTCTCTCTCCCCTCGTTGCATTTCCCTCGACCTGCATAACCTCATCTCCACCCGTCTCCACCCGCGCACCAATGGCTGGTCCGCACGTACCCGGTGGGGAAGCTCACGGAGGCGAGCCTTAACTCGTCTCCACCCCCCTCCACTCTTCTAACCCGCGCACCAACGGCAGGACCGCACGTAGACAGTGGAGGCGCTGACGGAGGAGAGCTTGAACTCGTCTCTCCGCGTTGCATTCCCCTCGACCTGCACCAGCTCAACCTTCTCCACCCCTCGCAACCCCTCTCCACCCGTCTCCCTCCCCCCGCACACCATGGCAGGGTCGCACGTACACGGTGGAGGAGCTGACGGAGGAAAGCTTCAAGGGAGTCGACATTGCTCTCTTCAGCGCTGGCGGTTCCATCAGGTACGCCGCCGCGCTGCCGGCTTCCGCCCTCCGCCCTCCGCTCTCCGCTCGCCGCTTTCCCCTTCGTCCGTGCCCCCTCTCACTCACCTGCCCCCTTCCCTTCCTGCCCTTCCCCCCCCTCCTCCCCCCCCCCCCCCCCCCCCCCCCCCCCCCCCCCCCCCCCCCCCCCCTCCCTCCCCCTTCTTCCGTCCGCGCAGCAAGAAGTTTGGCCCGGCGGCAGTGGCTGAGGGCACGATCGTGGTGGACAACAGCTCGGCGTTCCGCATGACCGACGGCGTGCCGCTCGTCGTTCCCGAGGTGCGCTAGTTGGCTGTGCCCGAGGTGCTGTAGTGCTGGTAGTGCCGAGTGGTATGCACGTGGTGTTGCAAATCACCATTTAAGCGCATCGATCGTGGTGGACAACAGCTCCGCGTTCCGCATGACGGACGGCGTGCCGCTCGTCGTTCCCGAGGTGAGTCGTGCCGCTTGTCGTTGAAGAGTTGCGTCGGTTCGCAGTGCTGGTACGGGTTAGTCGTTCCCTGCTTGTAGCGCCAAGAAAAGCGGATCGGTCGTGGTGGACAGCAGTTCCGCCTCCGCATGACGGACGGCGTGCCGCTCGTCGTTCCCGAGGTGAGCGAGTCGCGCATCAGGTGCGTTGATGGTGCTCGGAATGCCAAGTGATGAAATGAAACGCAGTGTTACCGTGAAGTCGCGCACGACGCGCTATGTACGGCGGTGCAGGGCGGGCGTCAAGTGCTGCTCGCGCCCGCCGCATCGTGCGCGACCAAGTTATGAAGCCCGTCCAGCTGCTCACATCGCGCCCGTGGCGTCGTGCGCGAGGAGAGGACCCGTCGAGGGTCTTCGCTCAAATGAGACCCTAATATGGAAAGGCCTTGATGACCTCATATGGAAAGGCCTTGATGACCTCATATGGAAAGGCCTTGATGACCTCATATGGAAAGGCCTTGATGACCTCATATGGAAAGGCCTTGATGACCTCATATGGAAAGGCCTTGATGACCTCATATGGAAAGGCCTTGATGACCTCATATGGAAAGGCCTTGATGACCTCATATGGAAAGGCCTTGATGACCTCATATGGAAAGGCCTTGATGACCTCATATGGAAAGGCCTTGATGACCTCACATGGAAAGGCCTTGATGACCTCATATGGAAAGGCCTTGATGACCTCATATGGAAAGGCCTTGATGACCTCATATGGAAAGGCCTTGATGACCTCATATGGAAAGGCCTTGATGACCTCATATGGAAAGGTCTTGATGACCTCATATGGAAAGGCCTTGATGACCTCATATGGAAAGGCCTTGATGACCTCATATGGAAAGGCCTTGATGACCTCATATGGAAAGGCCTTGATGACCTCATATGGAAAGGCCTTGATGACCTCACATGGAAAGGCCTTGATGACCTCATATGGAAAGGCCTTGATGACCTCATATGGAAAGGCCTTGATGACCTCATATGGAAAGGCCTTGATGACCTCATATGGAAAGGCCTTGATGACCTCATATGGAAAGGCCTTGATGACCTCATATGGAAAGGCCTTGATGACCTCATATGGAAAGGCCTTGATGACCTCATATGGAAAGGCCTTGATGACCTCATATGGAAAGGCCTTGATGACCTCATATGGAAAGGCCTTGATGACCTCATATGGAAAGGCCTTGATGACCTCATATGGAAAGGCCTTGATGACCTCACATGGAAAGGCCTTGATGACCTCATATGGAAAGGCCTTGATGACCTCATATGGAAAGGCCTTGATGACCTCATATGGAAAGGCCTTGATGACCTCATATGGAAAGGCCTTGATGACCTCATATGGAAAGGTCTTGATGACCTCATATGGAAAGGCCTTGATGACCTCATATGGAAAGGCCTTGATGACCTCATATGGAAAGGCCTTGATGACCTCATATGGAAAGGCCTTGATGACCTCATATGGAAAGGCCTTGATGACCTCATATGGAAAGGCCTTGATGACCTCATATGGAAAGGCCTTGATGACCTCATATGGAAAGGCCTTGATGACCTCATATGGAAAGGCCTTGATGACCTCATATGGAAAGGCCTTGATGACCTCATATGGAAAGGCCTTGATGACCTCACATGGAAAGGCCTTGATGACCTCATATGGAAAGGCCTTGATGACCTCATATGGAAAGGCCTTGATGACCTCATATGGAAAGGCCTTGATGACCTCATATGGAAAGGCCTTGATGACCTCATATGGAAAGGTCTTGATGACCTCATATGGAAAGGCCTTGATGACCTCATATGGAAAGGCCTTGATGACCTCATATGGAAAGGCCTTGATGACCTCATATGGAAAGGCCTTGATGACCTCATATGGAAAGGCCTTGATGACCTCACATGGAAAGGCCTTGATGACCTCATATGGAAAGGCCTTGATGACCTCATATGGAAAGGCCTTGATGACCTCATATGGAAAGGCCTTGATGACCTCATATGGAAAGGCCTTGATGACCTCATATGGAAAGGCCTTGATGACCTCATATGGAAAGGCCTTGATGACCTCATATGGAAAGGCCTTGATGACCTCATATGGAAAGGCCTTGATGACCTCATATGGAAAGGCCTTGATGACCTCATATGGAAAGGCCTTGATGACCTCATATGGAAAGGCCTTGATGACCTCATATGGAAAGGCCTTGATGACCTCACATGGAAAGGCCTTGATGACCTCATATGGAAAGGCCTTGATGACCTCATATGGAAAGGCCTTGATGACCTCATATGGAAAGGCCTTGATGACCTCATATGGAAAGGCCTTGATGACCTCATATGGAAAGGTCTTGATGACCTCATATGGAAAGGCCTTGATGACCTCATATGGAAAGGCCTTGATGACCTCATATGGAAAGGCCTTGATGACCTCATATGGAAAGGCCTTGATGACCTCATATGGAAAGGCCTTGATGACCTCACATGGAAAGGCCTTGATGACCTCATATGGAAAGGCCTTGATGACCTCATATGGAAAGGCCTTGATGACCTCATATGGAAAGGCCTTGATGACCTCATATGGAAAGGCCTTGATGACCTCATATGGAAAGGCCTTGATGACCTCATATGGAAAGGCCTTGATGACATGCGTGTGCTGAGGCGAGTTTTGAGGCGCCCCCAAACTCGCCCGTGGCGTCGTGCGCGAGGACCCGAGCGCACAACTCATTGCCCACGCCTTCCCCGCAACGTTTTGAAGCCCTTCCAGCTGCGCGCAGATCTAGCGCCGTGCCGAGCCAAGTGTCCCGCCGATCCAGCTGCGCCGCGCGCCATCGCAAGCCCTAATCTCGTCCGCCTTCCCCCCTCCCAGGGCTCGGGAGCGGCGGAAGCCGCCTTCACTACCCCGCCCCCCCTCCCCGTTCCCCACTCTCCCATCTCCCCCGGCCCCCCACTGCCCCGTCTTCCCCCCCCTCCACATTCCTTACTGTTTCCCCTCTCCCCCCATGAACCCCTAAGTGATCGCGCATGCCAAGCTGGAGGGCAGCGGCGGAAGTCGCACTCACATTCCGCCAACGCCTTTCCCCCCTTCCCCAGGTGAACCCCGACGCCATGGCGCACATCAAGCTGGAGGGCGGCGGCGGAAGTCGCGTTCACATTCTCCTCCCTCACTTCCCTTTCCCTCCCCTCCCCTCTCTCCCCCATTCCCCCCCCCCCCACCAGGTGAATCCCGACGCCATGGCGCACATCAAGCTGGGCGGCGGCGGCGCCATCATCGCGAACCCTAACTGCTCCACCATCATCTGCCTCGTCGCCGTCACTCCCATCCACCGCCGCGCCAAGGTAAGATGGGGGGAGGGGAGAGCGGAAGAGGCGGTACAAACAGGGGAGATGGGTACTGGTGAGGCGGTGAGAGGGGTGCGACGTTCATCGCGAATCCCAACTGCTCAACCATTATCTGCCTCGTCGCCGTCACTCCCATCCACCGCCGCGCCAAGGTAAGATGGGGGGAGGGGAGAGCGGAAGAGGCGGTACAAACAGGGGAGATGGGTACTGGTGAGGCGGTGAGAGGGGTGCGACGTTCATCGCGAATCCCAACTGCTCAACCATTATCTGCCTCGTCGCCGTCACTCCCATCCACCGCCGCGCCAAGGTAAGATGGGGGGAGGGGAGAGCGGAAGAGGCGGTACAAACAGGGGAGATGGGTACTGGTGAGGCGGTGAGAGGGGTGTGACGTTCATCGCGAATCCCAACTGCTCAACCATCATCTGCCTCGACGCCGTCACTCCCATCCACCGCCGCGCCAAGGTAAGATGGGGGGAGGGGAGAGCGGAAGAGGCGGTACAAACAGGGGAGATGGGTACTGGTGAGGCGGTGAGAGGGGTGCGACGTTCATCGCGAACCTCAACTGCTCAACCATCATCTGCTTCGTCGCCGTCACTCCCATCCACCGCCGTCTAAGGTAAGATGGGGGGAGGGGAGAGCGGAAGAGGCGGTACAAACAGGGGAGATGGGTACTGGTGAGGCAGTGAGAGGGGTGCGACGTTCATCGCGAACCCCAACTGCTCAACCATCATTTGCCTCGTCGCCGTCACTCCCATCCACCGCCGCGCCAAGGTAAGATGGGGGGAGGGGAGAGCGGAAGAGGCGGTACAAACAGGGGAGATGGGTACTGGTGAGGCGGTGAGAGGGGTGCGACGTTCATCGCGAATCCCAACTGCTCAACCATCATCTGCCTCGTCGCCGTCACTCCCATCCACCGCCGCGCCAAGGTAAGATGGGGGGAGGGGAGAGCGGAAGAGGCGGTACAAACAGGGGAGATGGGTACTGGTGAGGCGGTGAGAGGGGTGCGACGTTCATCGCGAATCCCAACTGCTCAACCATCATCTGCCTCGTCGCCGTCACTCCCATCCACCGCCGCGCCAAGGTAAGATGGGGGGAGGGGAGAGCGGAAGAGGCGGTACAAACAGGGGAGATGGGTACTGGTGAGGCGGTGAGAGGGGTGTGACGTTCATCGCGAACCCCAACTGCTCAACCATCATCTGCCTCGTCGCCGTCACTCCCATCCACCGCCGCGCCAAGGTGAGGCAATGATACGGGCGATGGTGAAGGAGGGGAGAGGGGGAGAGAGGGGAGATGGTGCGAAGGGAGAGCGGGGAAACCCCGACTGCTCCAATATCATCTGCCTCGTTGCTGTCACACTGTCTCTGCGTCGCCGCCAGGTGAAGCGCATGGTGGTCTCAACGTACCACGCCTGCAATCGCTCACCCTCTCGTTTTGTCCCGACCCTTCCCCCCACTTTTCCGCCTCTTTCCCCCTCCTCCCCCTCCGCCAGGTGAAGCGCATGGTGGTCTCAACGTACCACGCCTGCAATCGCTCACCCTCTCGTCTTGTCCCGACCCTTCCCCCCACTTTCCCGCCTCTTTCCCCCTCCTCCCCCTCCGCCAGGTGAAGCGCATGGTGGTCTCAACATACCAGGCCGCCAGTGGCGCGGGCGCAGCAGCCATGGCGGAGCTCGAGCTGCAGACCAAGGAGGTGCGCACAATGGGGAAAGGGCGCGGGGCAACAGGGCGATGGGGGAAAAGGGAGAGGGGGAAGGGAGAGGGAGATAAATATGGTGAGAAAAATATTTGTTTTTTTTGTTTTTTTTGTTTTTTTTTTTTGTGTTTTTTTTTTAAGTTCATTTCTATAGACGAAAGATTGTTGTGAAAGCCCCCCACCACCTCACTGGTTCCCCAAACTGTCCACTCCATTCCATCTACCCCATGCTATCTACCCCATAAGATCCACCCTTTGCCGTGTACCACATGCTATCCCCCGATGCCATCCTCTCATGCCTACGTAATACTTTACCCCATACCCCACTCTCCGTGCCCTGCCCTGTCCCTGCCATATCCCTGCCATATCCCTGCCCTGTCCCTGCCCTGTCCCTGCCATATCCCTGCCATATCCCTGCCATATCCCTGCCATATGCCTGCCATATCCCTGCCATATCCTTGCCATATCCCTGCCATATGCCTGCCATATCCCTGCCCTGTCCCTGTCTGTGTGCCTGTGCCTGTACGTGTGCCTGTCATTGTCTGCATGTGAGAACAGGTGCTTGAAGGCAAGCCACCCACCACCACCATCTTTGGCCGCCAGGTGACCATGCCATGCCATGCCATGCCACACCGTACTCTGCCCTTCCATGCTGTGCCATGCCACCACACGCCACACTGCCCTCCCGCCACGCCTCTCATTTGCCTTGCGCCTTTTGTCCGCCCGCCTACTCGTTCCATCACTCCTCCACCTTCATGCCATCACACGCCACGCTGCCCCCTCCCATCTGCCCTGCCCGCCTTGCCCTCTCTGTGCCCCCCTTCTGCTCCCTTCTGCTCCCTTCTGCTCCCTTCTGCTCCCTTCTGCTCCCTTTGCTCCCCTTGCTCCCTGTGCTCCCCTTTGCTCCCCTTGCCTTCCTGTCACCATGCGCCCAGTACGCGTTCAACCTGTTCTCGCACAACTCGCCCATGACGGCCAACGGGTACAACGAGGAGGAGATGAAGATGGTCAAGGAGACGCGCAAGATCTGGGTGAGTCATGCGCCATGCACGGGTAGGTCAGTGCCGCACACTTGTACCTGCACTCCTTTTTTTGTGCTGAGTCTTGGTGTGCTGGTCGGGTGGTGGGTGGGTACAACTACCGGGGGATGAAGATGGTCAAGGAGACGCGCAAGAAGATCTGGGTGCGTGCCAACATGAGGGGGGTGAGGTAGGAATGGGTGCGTGCCAGCATGGGTGGGGAGATGTGGGAAGGTGCCACGCATGAGTGGCAGCCAAGCATGGGTGGCAGCCAAGCATGGGTGGCAGCCAAGCATGGGTGGCAGCCAAGCATGGGTGGCAGCCAAGCATGGGTGGCTGCCAAGCATGAGTGGCTGCCAAGCATGAGTGGCAGCCAAGCATGAGTGGCTGTCAAGCATGGGTGGCAGCCCTGTGTGACCCCCTCAGCATGGGATTCTCTCCCCTGGAGTGACCCGTCAGTTGCAGTCACAGGCGTGTTCTTTCCAACCCCCCTCTCTCCTGTGCATGCATAGCGACCACTCAGTGGCTGTGACAGCCACGTGCATCCGAGTGCCGGTGAGGCATGCTGTCTCACTCAACCCCCACCCCTGATGCCCCCCCTCTCTCGCCCCCCCTCTCCACCCACGCCTCCTGTGCGTCCAGAGCGACCCTTCAGTGGCCGCCACAGCCACGTGCATCCGAGTGCCGAAGATGTGCGCTGTCTCACTCATCCCCGCCTGTGCTGCTGCTGTTTCCCCCACTTACTCCCCCCTCCCTCTCTCTCCTGTGCGTCCAGAGCGACCCCTCAGTGGCGGTGACAGCGACTTGCATCCGAGTGCCGGTCATGCGTGCCCATGCAGAGAGCATCAACCTCACTCTCGAGGAACCGCTGTCTGAGGTGTGTGTGCTGTGAGGTGATGAGAGGTAATGAAAGGTGATGAGAGGTAATGATAGGTGATGAGAGCCGATAAGAGGGGATAAGAGGTGTCTGAGGAGTGTCACCTCGCAGGTGTGATGCGCGCCCATGCAGAGAGCATTAACCTCGCTATCAAGGAGCCGCTGTCAGATTTGAGAGCGTGGAGAGGGAAAGAGGGAGGGGAGAGGGTGTATGAGGTGCGTGGGTGGGAGGGGGAGGTGCGTGAGTGAGATGGAGACTTGATAGATCCCATGCAGGCATCATCAGCCTCACATTCGAGGTTCTGTTGTCAGAGGTGCGAGGGGCCTCATGCATCAACCCATGCACGTCTATGCTCCTTGTTCGTTCCAGCCAGATGCCAAGGAGAGTCGTTTTCTAAACAAGGCATTACACTAAGTGGTGTACACTCTACCCTATACACTACTGTGCTCCTTGACTCTGGCAGGTGGAGGCGAAGGAGATTCTGAGCGGTGCAGAGGGGTTGTACCTCATCGATGACCGCGACACCAACACCTTCCCCACGCCACTTGATGTGAGCCATGCCCCACTCCTTATTTAAGGCGCCTAGAAACAAAACTTTACTTGTATGAAGCAAAACTCTACATCTGTACTGTCCCTTCCTGTTGCCCCATTCCTCCCCCGCACCCACATTGTCACCTAGTTCCCCCATTCCCCATCCCCACGTGCCCCCACCCGCTGCTGCCGCCTTGTGTTCCCCATTCCCGATGCCCACGTACCGCCCAACCCCTGCTGCCATATGTGTTCCCCAAACCCTCACCCCTCTGTGCTGCCCGCCAGGTGTCCAACAAGGATGACGTGGCGGTGGGCCGCATTCGGCAGGACATCTCACAACCAGACAACAAGGGGTGAGGCGGAGGGGTGTAAGAGGGGAGGACGAGGGAGTGATTGGGGTTGAGAGTGGGGATGAGAGTGGGGTTGAGAGTGGGGATGAGAGTGGGGATGAGAGTGGGGTTGAGAGTGGGGATGAGAGTGGGGATGAGAGTGGGGATGAGATAGGGTGGTAATGGGGTTTTGCGGTGCCTCAAGAACCACTTGTAAGAAGAGGAAAAATGCAATGCTGGAAACAAGCAGCGAGGTGGAGGAAAAGGGAGTTAGGGACTGTTGTTTTTTTCTAGAATATTACGGAATGTAGTTGACTACATTCCTCGTAACCTCTCGTGATTTCGCCATCAGTCTGCTCCCCCATCCACCCCTTCTGCTTGTCCATGTGTGCCTGGCTGCACCTGTTTGTGTGTGTTGACGGATTTGCAGTCTACTCTATCATTCCTCTATCCCTTCACCCCTCCCCACCCCCCTCCCACACCAGGCTGCACCTGTTGGTGTGTGTTGACGGGTTTGCAGTCTACTCAATCATCCCTCTATCCCTCCACCCCTCCCCACCCCCCTCCCACACCAGGCTGGACCTGTTTGTGTGTGGCGACCAGATCCGCAAGGGAGCAGCGCTCAACGCCGTGCAGATTGCCGAGCTGCTGGTCAAGAAGGCCGGTGCTGCATGAAGGGAGACAGTGATGGGTGCTGTGATGGGTGACAGTGTTGTCATGTGAAGGTTGTAGAGGAAGTTAGCAATCACGGCAGTGAAAGGCGATCATTATCGTGTGATCTACCATAACTGCATGGAGTAGGGAGTGTGCTTAGAGGGAGTGTAGCTTCACTTGTTGCCGATTGTAGTGGCTCAATCTCTCTGATGGTGTATTTTGATTGGGTTTGTGTGAGGCTAGTTTTCCACAATTCATATATAAATAATGCAATGAGTTTGATGTCCAGAGCAGGTGCTAGATGATACCCTGCCCACGCCTAGAATGGGAATGGTTCAATTCAAGTATACTGAACTTGAAAAGTGTTACGATATGAAAAATGATCAAGGCATTCCTGTATGCTGCAGGAGCCGACTCTTCCTGTCAAACATTATATGTTTATATTGTGTAGGCTATAGTGGGTTTAGCCTTAGGGGGTACAGCTTTGTTAGGGTTTCCTACTTGTATCCCCCTCCTACCTAGTTTCATGCATTTCTCGTTCTATTCTAGATTCTAACATGGTATCACGAGCCTAGTTTGCTACCTAGGACCGCTTTCTACTATGGGCCCTCTATTCCGCTAGAAGCGCCCTCGTGCGCCCTACCTTACGTGCGCCCTCGTGCGCCTTTCTCTGCTAGTGCGCCTTCGTGCGCCCTCGTGCGCCCTCGTGCGCCTTCGTGCGCCCTCGTGCGCCCTCGTGCGCCTTCGTGCACCCTCGTGCGCCCTCGTGCGCCCTCGTGCGCCCTCGAGCGCCCTCGTGCGCCCTCGAGCCGCCCCTGCAGGTCCGTCAGGCCCCCGAGCCGCCTCTGCAGACCCGTCAGCCCCCCCCCGAGCCGCCTCTGCAGGCCCGTCAGGCCCGAGAGCCGCCCCTGCAGACTCGTCAGGCCCGCGCGCAGCCTCTGCCCGACCGCGCGCCGCCCCTGCAGGCTCTCGCCGCCCGCCGCGTCGCCCTGCCCGCGGCGTCGCCGCCTGCCCGCGGCGTCGTCACCTGCCCGCGACGTAGCCCCTGCCCGCGGCGTCGTCGCCTGCCCGCGGCGTCGTCGCCTGCCCGCGACGTAGCCCCTGCCCGCGACGTCGTCGCCTACCCGCGGCGTCGTCGCCTGCCCGCGGCGTCGTCGCCTGCCCGCGGCGTCGTCACCTGCTCGCCGCATCGCCTTGCCCGCGGCGTCGCCACCTGCTCGCGGCGTCGCCCTGCTCGCGGCGTCGTCACCTGCTCGCCGCGTCGCCCTGCTCGCGGCGTCGTCACCTGCTCGCCGCGTCGCCCTGCTCGCGGCGTCGTCACCTGCCCGCCGCGTCGCCCTGCCCGCGGCGTCGCCACCTGCCCGCCGCGTCGCCCTGCTCGCCGCGTCGCCCTGACCTAATCCGCGCCTGGACTCTGGAGCAGCCGCCCCTGCAGCAGCCGCCCCTGGCCACTGGAGCAGCCGCCACTGCAGGAGCCGCCCCTCGCCCCTGGAGCAGCCGCCCCTGCAGCAGCCGCCCCTGGCCCCTGGAGCAACCACCGCTGCAGCAGCCGCCCCTGGCCCCTGGAGCAGCCGCCACTGGAGCAGCCGCCCCTGGCACCTGGAGCAGCTGCCGTCGCGGCCCGGCCTCGCCCTGCAGCAGCTGCCGCGGAGCTCCCTGCTGCGGCCCGGCCCCGCCCTGCAGTTGTAGCGGCCCCGCTGTCGCCACCGTCTTGCGCCTGCCGCGCCTGAGAAGAAACGAGGAATGAAATGACTAAGTGAAAGTTGGGTACAAGAAGCAAACCCTAGAAAACTGTACCCCATATGTGCTACCCCACTATAGCCTACAGTAGCTATGTCATATAAATCTGACACACCCCCATAGGCAAAGTGGGGGAGAACAAGGGGTCACAAGACCAGTCAAGCAAAGCAAAGCAAAACAAGCTCAGGGTGGATCACAAAGTCACCACACATTCCGAGCACAAGTTCAAGGCCACAAGGCCAGTTCACAAGCAGGAGTACACATATATATAAAAAAGGCTAGACAAACAAGAGCAGGTATATATATATGTAACAGTACAAGCAAGGTCAAGAGGTGAGCAAGTGAGGCAAGGTAGGCACAAGGCCCAGCTGAGTACAGAAGCGCTGATGGTCACAAGGCGCAAGTGCCTTGGTGAAGATATCAGCAGTGTTGGCCTCAGAGGCCACGTACGCAAGACGCAGCTGACCACGCTGCTGCAGCTCACGAGCAAGAAAGTAGCGGAGAGCAATGTGCTTCGTTCTGTGCTCCAGTCGCTGCTCCCGACACAAGGCCAGCATGGCCTTGTTGTCTACGTACAGCACTGGAGGAGAACGAGGCAACTCTCCGAGGTCAGTCAGCAGGTAGGTGAGCCAGCGAAGCTCCTGTGCAGCCATGGCTCCTGCGTAGATCTCAGCCTCACAACTGGAGCCGAGAACAGAAGACGAGCGAGTAGCCCGCCACGAAACAGAGCCGGAACCAAGGCTGAAGGTGTAACCCTGTGACGACCGCTGCGTAGCCTGGTCGTCAGCCCAAGAAGCGTCTGCGTGCCCAGTAAGGACCACTGGACTCTGCCCTCCAAGCACAAGCCCCATGCCCGACGTACTGCACAAGTAGCGCAACACCCTCTTCGCTGCAGCCATGTGCTCCGGTCTGTGTCTCCCAGGAGCAACATAGCGTGCAAGAATGCTAAGAGGGTATGCAAGGTCAGGTCGTGTGCAGGTCATCAGGTACATGAGGCAGCCAACAAGCTCTGGGTACGGGCCACTCGACTCTACGGACTCATCCGAAGGCAGAGCTGAGAGCGAGTGGCGAGTAGGCAGAGGAGTGGCCTGAGGCGAGGAGTACGTGAAGCCGAAGCGCTGAAGGACCTGCTGCACCATGTGTGACTGAGTCAGGGTAATGGTGCGGCGTGCTCTGTCCCGAGTGATCTGCAAGCCAAGGTAGCTGCGCAGTTCACCCAGGTCAGTGCACGTATGTCTCTTCTGCAGCTCAGAATTCACGTGGGCTAGTCCAGCAGTGTCAGCTGTGGCAAAGACCAAGTCGTCGACGTACACGAGGATGTAGAACGGCGGCAAAGAAGTGTCGGTGCGCAGAAACAGCGACGGGTCGGCAGTAGAGGGAGCAAACCCAAGAGCCGCAAGTGTAGTCCTCAGTGTGTCGTGCCACTCACGCGGTGCCTGGCGGAGACCGTAGACTGGCCGCCGTAGGCTCCACTGGGTGCCAGGAGGAAAAGACCCAGTGAAGCCAGGTGGGCGACGCAGCCAGATCTCCTCGTGCAGGCTGCCCTGCAAGAAAGCAGTGCTGAAGTCAAGAGAGTGTAGCTCGTAGTCACGGTGAGCAGCTACGTGCAGCAGTACCCGAAGAGTGGTCATCTTCGGGGTGGGAGAGAAGGTCTGAAAGTAGTCAACTCCCTGCCGCTGACTGAAGCCACGAGCCACGTAACGCGCCTTGAAGACAGGCGGAGAACCCGGCGGTCGCTTCACCCTGAAAATCCACATGCCACTGACGATGTTCGCCCCAGGAGGGGGAACAGCGTCAACGTAGGTGCCTGTGGACTTCCAGGAAGCCATCTTTGCGTCCATAGCTGCCTGCCACTGAGAGGAGTAGGGACCCTCTATCGCCTCCGCGTAAGAGCGCGGAGTCGGGATGTCAAGTGCATCCGGGTCTCCCTCAGGGGTAAGCAGTACGGACACGAGATGAGGTGAAGCAGCGGCCAAGCACTGGAACTCCTCCTGCCTGTCCTCAAGGACGTCCGTGCCAAGGGCACACTCACCCCCGACGGACGGAGGACAGACAGACTCAGACTCAGCAACAAGACTGGCGACGTAGTCTAGGCGACAGCGAGCAGCAAAGTCGACGAGCTCAGCAACTAGAGCAGACGCAGCAGTGGACTCAAAGGAAGGGTCAGTGACAACCGTAGCAAGGAGACGCGTGACAGTAGGACTGGCAGCGCGAAGAGAGTCCGACTCCGGGTCGGCAAGAGTAGGAAGAGAAGACTCAGGAGGAGAAGGCAAAGGGGCACGCAGAGGAGCAGTGGACGGACGCAGAGACATCCGGTGCGTGCCAGGGACAGGAGGAGGACGCTGACGCGAACCGCGACCACTAGTGCGAGCAGCATGGACAGGCGACGCAGGGCGAGACGCAGGCTCACGACGCTCAGCAAGACCTCCAGTAGGACCAGTGTAGGGAGACGGAGCAGGCAGTGGGGAGGCCGGCTGTAACTGTAACTGCGACGGGACAGGCTGTGGACACTCTAAGGGAGGAGGAGGACCAGTAGAAGGCGGGAGACCAAGAACCTGCTGAAGGAGCGGAACGAAGTACGGCCGAGGCCGCACGGCGACTCCAGACACAGGAGGGACAGCACCAGCACCCCCAGGGGCAGCACCAGCACCAGTAGCAGCTCCAGCTCCAGAACCCCCAGCAGCACCAGTAGTACCCCCAGCAGGACCGCCTCCAGGACCGACAGCAGTAGCCTCCGCGCCAACACCCGCAGCAACTCCAGCTCCAGAAGTACCCGCAGGTCCAGCAGCTCCAGTACTCCCAGTACGAGCACCTCCGGGACCCGTGGCACCAGCTCCCTCAGAAGCAACAGAACCTCCAGTACCCGCAGCACCTCCAGCTCCAGCAGCTCCAGCAGCTCGCCTCCAGCGCCGGGCAAACCACTCACGCAGCTCCTGGGGAGAGAGTGGCTCCCGGCGAGAGGGAGCACCCGGTGAACCGCCAGGCACAGCACCACCAGGCGTAGCACCCCCAGGCTCAGCACCTCCAGGCGTAGTACCCCCAGGCTCAGCACCCCCAGACGCAGCACCCCCAGGCTCAGCACCTCCAGGCGTAGTACCCCCAGGCTCAGCACCCCCAGTCGTAGTATCCCCAGACTCAGCACCCCCAGGCTCAGCACCCCCAGGCTCAGCACCCCCAGGCGTAGCACCCACACGCTCAGCACCCCCAGAGTCAGCACCCCCAGGCTCAGCACCCTCAGCAGCACCAGAGTCACCAGCGACCTCGACAGGCTCAACAGCGTC